CGCCCGCCCAAAATTACAGTTACACACACGATTAAGGGCGCCCGCTAATCAGAGTACCGTTGCAGCCGCATGAAGAAGCGCGTAGACAAAAAGGCACCGCGAGGCAAGAAAAATCCTAATTACTGAATTCCTAAATTCCTACCTCATGCGAAGAAGCAAAAAGCACGAACTTCAGGGAAGAAGTCTGAAATTTCGAGAGTCATCGGGGCTCGACAAAATTCGAAAAAGACTCAAAAGGAAATTCAAAAAAGAACGAAGCAAATTCCCGCGCGATGTTCGCGCCCAAAAGATCGAAACCGAAACGAAGGAAACAACGTCAACATTTATTAATCGCGCGCGTGGGGGCGCGCCAGCCATCCAGCCGACCAATCAGTCAACCGGCCATCCCAGGACACACCCAGCTCCGAACCCAGTCACCCGAAAAGAAGCGACGGAAAAGACGAAAAAGCAAGGACTCTGATGCAATTTTCCACCGATCCCGATCTCCCGTAATTAGCCCAACCTTCCCAACTTAGGACCCCTCGTTGCATTCGCACAGAAAACCGCGCGTTACAGGAAGTGGTTCGTCACATATGTGACGCCCAGGGGGTTCCAATATTAGCAAGCTCCTGCTTGCTTGTTGACACGTGTCGATTTCTCTAATCGATTGACACGCGGAGCGCTTCTCTCTATGTCACTTACCGTTTGATTGCGTGTGGACGTCGTCCAACGTGGCAATACTGCTCTTCTACTAATTCCTCAGATTGGGCTCTCGACGATTCTAAGGATGGGATCTTTCTCGTGCCGTCGCCGCGACACGCGTCCATTACCGTTGCATCAATAATTAACCGGGAGGGGGAAAGGAAGTCGGTACATGGCGGCATGGCGGGGTGGAGGGTTTATGGGTAGCGGGGGCAGGATACTTTCCATTCCGGCTACAGTCTCCGGGAGCTCCTAATAACGAACAATGCGATGAAAACGGGGAAATCGGTTGCCAGTGAGAGGGAGGGACGCGAGATAATCGGGATAGAGGGTGGTGAGAGTTCGAAAGAGTGCCGCGCGGAAGCGATCGCGGTCTTCGCATGCGGGGATGGTCCCCGTTATCACGCTATAAACCTCGATCATATTGTGGCCTCGCCATGCGGCACTAAGGAGCAAGACATGGAGGCAGAAAGTCGTGACGGCGCATCGAATGGAGGGGTGGGCATCCACTACTACAGCGAGGCGAGCGGCGTAGAAGTGACGGAAGGTGTTGCGGGGGAACGGATTGGAGGGGAACGTGACGGGGGTGGTGAGCTGGCGGAGGGTGAAGTAGTCAAGGGGACGGCGAGAGAGTGATCGGGGACGAAGGCCGATCGCCCGTATCGGTACGTCGGCGAACTGGGGGACGGGTTGGGGAGGAGGGGGATCGGCTCCGTCGCCGCGCTGATGGGGTTGGAGTCGTGGCCGCGAGGTCGCCATCTTTAGGTCGGGGTGGCTCCGGATCTCGGTTCGGGTCGTCGTGGATCTGCAGACTCGTCGCGCTTGCGAGTTCTAACTCCTTCCCGACCGCGATCTCTTCTCTTTTGCGGGCCGCCTCGGGATCTTCAGCCTCTGTGCCCGTACGCAGTGCTTCCTCCGGCACGGCTTCCCACTCCGATCCAGCAGGCTCGTCTTCGCGCTCCTCTTCTTCTTCCTCGTCTTTTTCTTCTTCGCTCTGTTCCCCCTCGCTATGCTCGCTATAGCTTCCTTCTTCGGGGGTTTCGTCCTCTTCACCGAGCACTTCGTCGCTATCCCCTCTCTCTTCCTGCGCGTCTTCTCCTTCGTCACTCCCGGTGCTCTCTTCTTCCTCCTCTTCTTCTCGAATGGCAGCAAACTGCTCCGCTGTAGGGTACCTGAAGAAGTCAGGATCGCGAGCCGTCCGGGGAGCCAAATACTGTTGCTGCGACGGCAGGATGCGTTCTACGGCTCCTTCCACGCAAGCCGACCACTGAAGGTAAGGTGTCAATGTGCGAGAGAGTACGTGGGGAACCGGATGCTCGTCGTCTTGCGCGATGATGTCGAGAGGGAGATCATCCGCCAGCTGCGCTACCGGGATAGTGAGCTCTTGCGCAATAAGCTCCTGATGACCGGGCCGCACTGTTCCAAATAAAAACGCGAGAAGCTCTCCTTCCACGTTGGTACGCCAGGCCTGGATAAGCAGCAACTCCAGACGCTCTATGTGAGGTGGGTGCACTCCGTCCTCGGTCCACGTCAGCCGTACCTCAACCAAACACACTGAAAGCTCGATGAACTCCTCGCGCCACAGGATCCAATGGGGAGGATGAAGAAGGGGGACAACAAGAGGCTTTAGACAGTAGGAAAGGCGAGGATGGATATCAGACTGCCAGAAGGTAGGGAAGGTGGAGGGGAGATAAAAAACGGAGATCGGAGAGAGACTCATTGGGGATGTGGGAAGGGAACGAGGACAGGGTGTTCCGTCGGCGGATCGCGTTGATACATCCGAAGGCCGTCGTACTCGATTGCTCGCGACGTCGCGATTGTATCCCCGAGACGAGGCAGCAGCTGAGTCCACTCGGCGACCAGATCGTTTGCCCACGCGGGCAGCGATGTCTTCACCGCCAAATGTCGTAAGGGAAGGAGCGTGGAGAGATCGCCGCTGAAGTTGATGATGACCGATATGCGGCTGACACCTGGCACCGCTCGCTGATGAACTGCTACCGCCTCGGCTAGTACCACCGTGTCAGGTCGGCCTTCGATTCTGAACACCGGCGCTGCATACACGCCTTCCGTGCAGAAGAAGTGCGCAGGTCGCCGAAGATCTGGACTAAGGCGGGGATGATGGACCTGCCGGATCGTCAATCGATCACGGGGCGCAAGCGATGCTTCGCTGAGGGCTCTTTCCTCCAGAAAACTCATGGCGATGGCGAAGGTGACGGGGAGGCAGAGAGGGAGCGAGAAGGAGAGGGAGATGCCGGGGAGGCAGAGCCGTCGTCGTCGGCTTCCTCAGAGGGAGAGACCGATGAAGAAGGAGATGGGGTAGAGGGGAGGAGGCGAAGATAGGACACGTGGCGTGTGATTGGACGGACCGATCGACTGCCAGAGACCTCGGGGGCAAGACGCACGGTGTCCACGCCATTAGGCCCGAGCTCGATCACCTGATATCGCCCGAAGAATCGTGGCGCTAGCTTACCCTGGCGAGCACATTTCCTTACCCGCACCACGTCCCCTAATTTGTACTGGGGCTGCGGACCCGCATTCCCATTTCGGGCCTCGTAGCTTCGAACCTGTCGGCCTTGGGCTAGTTCGGTCATTTTCTGTCGTTTTCGGGCTAGCCTGGGCAGTGACCGTTCCATTAGCTCTAGGTGTCGTTTGGCCTTGTCCCGAGCCGTGGCCCTAGTGGGTCGTCGGTTCAATGTAGACTCATCTGGGAGGCTTGGTATCGAAACGCAAGCGACGCTATTGGTCCTTAATTGGAAGGGGCTTAACCCCGTCGATTCGTGGGGCGTTCCGCAGTGGACCACCAGGATGTGATCGACGATATCGAGCCAGGGCCTTGGATCCCGTGCCGCGATATTTCATCGCAATGTTGTCTTTATCTCCTGGTTAGCGTTCTCGACCAGCCCATTGGATTGCGACATGTGGGGTGTAGTGTTTCGTATGGCGACGCCATGTAGGACCAGATTCCTTAGCACTTCTCCCCTGAATTCAGCCCCGTTGTTGGTCAGGATCTCTTCCGTATCCTGATGCATCCCGAGGAAACGGTTGACTTATCGCGCGATTTCCGTGGCTTGCCGCGTGCGACAAGGGTATGCCTCGATCCATTTCGAGAAACGGTCGACAAATACCAATAGGACTGAATACTCGCAGCTATTAGGGCCAGGAGGTACCACTATGTCAGTAGTGTCCATGCTCACTCTTTGAAACGGTCGTTCAACTATCGTGGGTACTATCGATCTTGGTTGCTGAATCGACACTTTATCAGCGGCGCAGACTTGACAGTTGGCGACGATGTATTTCACATCGTCGCGGATATTGGACCAGTACCACTCATTTTTGTCGATAGCGGACTCCGTGATTCGTACGGCAAAATGAGCCGCAGTTTCCTCGTGGGTTGTCTTAACCCAGTCATACCGCATGAACGGATGCAGCACAACCATCCAAATCCCACTGCCGTCTGTTTTCCGTTTTTCGAATCTGCCCTCTATCCATCTGTAATCCCGAGCCCTCTCGTGGGCCCTCCTCCGATCTTCCTTGGTGAAATCCTGGAGGGGGTTGCCAACCAGGGTGGCAATCAAGGCAATATCGGTCCATACTTCGGCCCTTCTAAACTTCTGGGTCATTTCCAACCCTTCTGACGTGGCATCCAAAAAGCGAGCCTCGATCGGAATCTTGTCGGTCCGACACAAGGGGCACAACCACGGTTTACTATCGTTTCTGTATTGGATGCACGAGCCATGGGCTCGTGCGGCACACTATCGGCAATCTATCCAATCAACATACCCTTCCCCGTTAGGACGCATGGAGACCGAGTATACGCGGGAGATAGCTTCGCAAAAATAGCAAAATTTGTCAGGCAGGGAGAGGCGAAACGAAGAGGAAAGGGGAGAGAGAGGGGTAGTGGGGTTACCTCCATCACCCATTGCCACCGTTTTGCTTCTTGCCACGTGGGAGAACTGCCACTTGTCCGTACTTAGGCTCGTTGGTCAGGTCCGACTCTTTCCACGGTGTACTTTCCTCGCCCTTTGGTACTTTAGCAGGTCGATGCAGACGTGTCAGTCCGTCCGCGTTGCCGTGTCTCTCCGTTTTCCGATGAACAATGTCGAAGTCGTATTCTTGCAGTCGCACCACCCAACGGCCAATCATGCCCGTGTAGTTGGTGAGCTTCTTCAAAGCTAGCAGAGGCTCGTGATCCGTCACGAGGCGAAACTTCTGTCCGTAGAGATACTGATGGAAGTGTTGGATTCCCCAAACTACCGCATAACACTCGCCTTGAGGTGCCGAGTCATTCCGACGTTCGTCTGGCACTGTGCGCGACGCGTACTCGATGACGTGTTCACGACCATCGCTCCCCTTCTGCGCTAAAATAGCGAAAATGGCTTTCGGTTGCCAGTCCGCAATGAGGATAAACTGCTTGGAGGGGTCCGGTCGGATCAAAATAGGAGCCGTCGCCAAGGCGTCTTTGAGGGTCGCGAAGGCGTGCTGGCACTCCGCGTCCCAGCTGAGAGGCCGGTCCTTCCGTAATAGATTCGTTAATGGTCGCGCAATCGCGGCAAAGCCCTTGATGAAGCGCCGGTAGTACGACGCTAACCCCAAGAAGGCTTGAACCTGCGTCAGCGACGTGGGAATCGGGGCTTCTTTTACTGCCGCCACCTTTCTTGAGTCCGGCCGTAGTCCTCCACGTGTCACGACGTAGCCCAAGAACGAAATTTCTTAGAGGAAAAATTCGCTCTTCTCGAGCGCAATCTTGAACCCAGCGTCTCTCAGAGCGCCCAATGTCCATTCGATATGTTGCGCGTGCCCGTGATAGGTTTCCGAATAGACCAGGATATCGTCCATGTACACGATCACGCAAAAGTTAATCATCCCTTGTGTCAGTCGTGTCTTGTTGACGAAATTTTGGAACGTCATGTTCATTGCTCGCTGAAACGTGGCAGGCGCATTGCAAATTCCCATCGGACACCGAACCCACTGCCACGTACCCTCAAACAGTACGAAGGTCGCCTATGGCCAATCTTCCTCTTTTACCAGAATGTGATGGAAGCCATGTCGAATATCAAACTTGCTAAAATAATTAGCGCATCCAATCACATCCAGCAAATCATCAATCCGGGGGAGGGGGTACATATCTTTGATCGTGATCTCATTCAGCTTGCGATAATCAATGCAATTGCGAATCGCTCCGTTTTTCTTCGGTACTAACACTACGGGAAATGACCAAGGTCCGGTGGCGGGTTCAATCCAGCCGCTGGCTTCGAACTCCCGAATTCGTTCGAGAGCCTTTTTGCGTTCAATCAAGGAATGTCGATAAGGTTTGCAATGAATTGGGGAGTGATTTCATGTTGGATTACTAATGGTAAGCCGATGTCAGTGTCTGTCACACTAATCGCTCCTTGATATTCCGTTAGAATGTCCGCAATCACCTGGTGGATTTCATCCGGTACGTACTGTGGAACGTGTAGTTCGAATAGTTGGTCCCTGATCCGAACGTCAATCTGTTTCGTACGCGCCTGTTTTGCCACATCGGGTGGAGGCGCCGAGATGAACGAATGGTCCGATCGCCAGGAGAACACCGTGGCCATCATCTGGGCATCTTCTTCCCGGATTGCCACGTGTCCTTCCGGGGTAATCCCGTCACAAATATCCTGCCATGGCACGTTCTTAGTTGCGATCTTTATCCCCAGTTCGTCTGTTGCTGCTTCGAGACGCCCACGGGGTTCCAGAGAACTTGCTTCCGCCCCCAAGCATAACAATCTTACTTCCTTAGCAGATGTCAATAAGGACCTCGGTAGATCTGTAATGTCACAGTAATGCCTCTTGTCGTTATACCGGGCGAGGAGAGGGGTGATTCCTTCGTACAGAGTTTGAGGGGTTTCCAAAGAATCGACCATCCTCGAGATCTCCACGAGGGGCTCACCCAGGATCATCGCCTTGGTCCTTTGAATTTTTCGGCTGGTCAGTTGCATCGTTCTCGCTATCGTTTTGGGCGGCGGGTAGTAAACACGCTGTCGTGCTAATTTCAAGATCTCCGGATCATCTTCGTCGCTGTTGTCCGCATCATTTGTCGATGACTTTTCATCGGCGGATTCATCCCAGGAGATCATGAGGAGAGTCCCTGCCATCATCGGCGAAACCCGCGAGACCGTGTTAATGGTAGTACGAAGGGTCAATCGCATGGGCACAACGTATGGTTTCCCTCCTGTATTTCGCAGGATAATCGATCTTCGTTCGAAATCCAAGCTCGCTCGTAGGGCCACAAGAGCGGGTAGTCTGAAAAGAGCGTCGTACGTATTAGCATCTAGGACTACGACATCTCCAAGCGCGTGCACTTTTCCTAATCGGAAAGCGACATTGGTCATTCTTCCCACGGTCTTAATTTTTTCTTCATCTGCCGAAACGAGCTGATCTTTCTCAGTGAGCATGATCAGATCGTTTTTCCTACCAGCCCTTTCGACCACTCTCAGTGAAATAGCCAGCACAGCTGCTCCCGAATCTATGATTGCGTTGTAAGGAATTCCCCAAATTTCAATATCGCATTCTGCGGATTTTCACAGAATTGGTTTAATCCGCAGAAAATGGTCGTCTTTCTGGATTAAACCTACCCGTTTCAGATCCAACGTGCGTGTTGGGTTTTCTGCGGGCGTGGGGCTTTTAGCTTTTACGTTTGGCGTTCGGGCGACGGCGAATCGCTTTCGGTTCGCCTTGCAGTGCTGTAACATTCGCTCATTGGCTTGCTCGGAGATCGAGAGTAGATGACCGATCGGAAGTGGAATCCGATGGTCCAAGGACCAGAGGATGTTTAATACATCGATCTCTCCTGTGACGAAGGTGGGTCCTCCCGACTCCATTTCTCCTAGAGAAGGTCGCCACTCCGCCACCTCTTTCGGCTCTGGCGCAGGTCTGGCTGTTCCGATCATTCCAAGCCCGGGATAACCAAGGGATACATACTGATCTAGCGGGATTAGCTTGGCGGCCTCTTCCGTGGTGGTCAGGGCACTTCCCCCACCCTCTACTTCTTCCATTAAAGCTCCGACTCGCCATGGTCCGTTAGCGATTGGGGCAGCCGCCATCGGCGCGACCCCGATCCGCTGTTGCGGGGGTCGGTGGGGGCAATCACGGGCTAGATGTCCTGGCTGATGACAGGCATAACAGACATTCAGATTGTTCGCGGCTCCCCCGAGAGCAGGTGCCGGGGCCAATCCTTGCTGTATCGGAGGGGCGCGCACCGCAATGGGCCGCATGTTCCTCATCATGGCTTCCTGCAGAGCATTGTGCTCTCGCTGCTCCTTTTTGCTTTCCTGCATTAGACTAATCAATGTCTTGGTTAGTTCGAAAATGGCCGCTGATTCGTTCGATCGTACGGGAGCCTCAATCGGGGGCGGGGGTAACGCTCTGACGGGCGGGGGTATCATTGGAGCGGAGGTGCTCGGAATCTCACTTAGGACCACTCGTTTGGGGCCTATCTGTTCCATATAGGTGACAGGTCCTGATACAAATCCCATGTTTTCAAACTTGTTCTGCAAGGCAGCCAACTCAGCTCTTGCTCGTGCGAGTTCGGTCGAATCTCCTTCTCTAGGATAATCTTTTCCTTCCAGGAAGTTTGCTGCGAACTTTCGTTCCATTTCCTCCGCAGCAGCCATGATTTGTTGCAGCGTGTGAGTGATGGGGGAAAATTGCTTTCGCATTTTAGCCCTTATTGTTCGGCTGCGAAGCCCGTCAATAAACAAATCTCTTCCCACTTGCTCACCTCGCTCAGTTTTCACGAACATTCTGTAGAACCGGTTTCGATATTCTGCAACGGATTCGAGAGGTTTTTGCACTCGGTCCTTGATCATGTACAGCGCTTGCTCGGGGTGAACATAATCAAATCGGTTCATGAAATCCCGTTCGAAGGTCGGGAGATCAACCCATACGTAGATACTATACCAATGATGAGCGTCTCCTCCCATTCGAGCCGGGATGTTCATCTGTGCTTCATTATCATCGTACTGCTGTGCTCTAAGTGTGGCCAGCCATGCTCCTGCGAGATGGTGCGCCGGATCAAATAGGTAGAGATCAGGTGGCGTCATGGGAGCTCGTGCACGTGGGGCGGGTTGATTTGGTGGATTAGCATTCTGTTGTGGAATCGGGTTTTGCACATCGGCAGCCATATTGGCTGCTCGTCGGTTAGCCGATCTGCTTCGAGTGACGATAGGGTCGCGTCTCTGCGCGTTCCGAGGGCGAGATCGCCCACGGTTAGCCAGGTCGCCTAATTAACGTGCTATCAATCCTAAGAGCCTAGCCACGTGTCGGGCTCCGATACCAACCTCACGCCCAGCGCGACTTCCTGATCGGAGTGGGATGTGGGCTTGGAAGTGCGAAAAGGGGTGTGCCAAGGATTTTTGGGAAAAGTGGGGGAGTCTTAGGGGTATGAATGCAATTAGGCGAACAAGGGGCGCGTGCGCAAGGGACTCATGGCCCGATGGGGCCGGGGTACTGTGGGCGACGGTTTACGGGGAAGTCCCTCCGCGGCGGAGGCCGTCCCGAAAAGTTGGGCCGTCTAGGGCCGCCACGTGGCGCAGGCCGCTGCGTATTTGGGTTGGGCCTTCAGAATTGCGGGGTTCTCCGCTCACCGCTACGTCGGCAATTCCCGCAAGGCGTGCTGGGCCAATAGGGGGCTATGGCCGGCCACAGAACGACGCTAAGTTGATGATACGGGAGAAGGAGGCGAAAAGGAGGGAAACTGGTGGTGATGACGACAAATCCCGGGTGGGTGAAGTAGTAGGTA